AAATGTTGAAGTCTATAAATTTGTTAGTTTGGAAATGTTGATAAAATAAAGCTAACAATGTCAGATTGTTAAACACCCGAATTCAACTTTGGCATCCTATACCATCAAAACCTGTTAAAATTTATAAATGTGGTATTCAAAATTATGTTCCTACACTTTTGTAAATATTTTTTTTAATGTTGAAGTCTATAAATCTATTAGTTTGGAAGTAGTGATGCAATAAAGCTAACAATGTCAAATTGTTTAAAAACCCGAATTCAACTTTAGCATTCTATAACTTCAAAATCTGTTAAAATTTAAAAAAATTGTCTTCAAAATTTTGTTTCTAGACTTCTTTTAAATATTTTATTAAATGTTGAAGTCTATAACTCTGTTAGTTTGGAAGTAGTGATGAAATAAGGCTAACAATGTCAAATTTTTTAAAAACCCAAATTAAACTTTGGCATCCTATAACTTCAAAACCTGTTAAAATATAAAAAAGTGGTCTTCAAAATTTTGTTTCTACACTTTTTTAAATATTTTGTCAAATGTTGAAGTCTAAAAATCTATTAGTTTGGAAGTAGTGATGAAATAAAGCTAACAATGTCAAATTTTTTAAAAACCCAAATTCAACTTTGGCATCCTATAACTTCAAAACCTGTTAAAATATAAAAAAGTGGTCTTCAAAATTTTGTTTCTACACTTTTTTTAAATATTTTTTGAAATGTTGAAGTCTATAAATTTGTTAGTTTGGAAATGTTGATAAAATAAAGCTAACAATGTCAGATTGTTAAACACCCGAATTCAACTTTGGCATCCTATACCATCAAAACCTGTTAAAATTTATAAATGTGGTATTCAAAATTATGTTCCTACACTTTTGTAAATATTTTTTTTAATGTTGAAGTCTATAAATCTATTAGTTTGGAAGTAGTGATGCAATAAAGCTAACAATGTCAAATTGTTTAAAAACCCGAATTCAACTTTAGCATTCTATAACTTCAAAATCTGTTAAAATTTAAAAAAATTGTCTTCAAAATTTTGTTTCTAGACTTCTTTTAAATATTTTATTAAATGTTGAAGTCTATAACTTTGTTAGTTTGGAATTAGTGAGGAAATAAGGCTAACAATGTCAAATTTTTTAAAAACCCAAATTAAACTTTGGCATCCTATAACTTCAAAACTTGTTAAAATATAAAAAAGTGGTCTTCAAAATTTTGTTTCTACACTTTTTTTAAATATTTTATCAAATGTTGAAATCTAAAAATCTATTAGTTTGGAAGTAGTGATGAAATAAAGCTAACAATGTCAAATTTTTTAAAAACCCAAATTCAACTTTGGCATCCTATAACTTCAAAACCTGTTAAAATATAAAAAAAAGTGGTCTTCAAAATTTTGTTTCTACACTTTTTTTAAATATTTTTTGAAATGTTGAAGTCTATAAATTTGTTAGTTTGGAAATGTTGATAAAATAAAGCTAACAATGTCAGATTGTTAAACACACGAATTCAACTTTGGCATCCTATACCATCAAAACCTGTTAAAATTTATAAATGTAGTATTCAAAATTATGTTTCTACACTTTTTTTAAATATTTTTTGAAATGTTGAAGTCTATAAATCTATTAGTTTGGAAGTAGTGATGAAATAAAGCTAACAATGTCAAATTGTTTAAAAACCCGAATTCAACTTTAGCATTCTATAACTTCAAAATCAGTTAAAATTTAAAAAAATTGTCTTCAAAATTTGATTTCCAGACTTTTTTTAAATATTTTATTAAATGTTGAAGTCTATAACTTCGTTAGTTTGGAATTAGTGATGAAATAAGGCTAACAATGTCAAATTTTTTAAAAACCCAAATTAAACTTTGGCATCCTATAACTTCAAAACCTGTTAAAATATAAAAAAGTGGTCTTCAAAATTTTGTTTCTACACTTTTTTTAAATATTTTATCAAATGTTGAAGTCTAAAAATCTATTAGTTTGGAAGTAGTGATGAAATAAAGCTAACAATGTCAAATTTTTTAAAAACCCAAATTCAACTTTGGCATCCTATAACTTCAAAACCTGTTAAAATATAAAAAAAAGTGGTCTTCAAAATTTTGTTTCTACACTTTTTTTAAATATTTTTTGAAATGTTGAAGTCTATAAATTTGTTAGTTTGGAAATGTTGATAAAATAAAGCTAACAATGTCAGATTGTTAAACACCCGAATTCAACTTTGGCATCCTATACCATCAAAACCTGTTAAAATTTATAAATGTGGTATTCAAAATTATGTTCCTACACTTTTGTAAATATTTTTTTTAATGTTGAAGTCTATAAATCTATTAGTTTGGAAGTAGTGATGCAATAAAGCTAACAATGTCAAATTGTTTAAAAACCCGAATTCAACTTTAGCATTCTATAACTTCAAAATCTGTTAAAATTTAAAAAAATTGTCTTCAAAATTTTGTTTCTAGACTTCTTTTAAATATTTTATTAAATGTTGAAGTCTATAACTCTGTTAGTTTGGAAGTAGTGATGAAATAAGGCTAACAATGTCAAATTTTTTAAAAACCCAAATTAAACTTTGGCATCCTATAACTTCAAAACCTGTTAAAATATAAAAAAGTGGTCTTCAAAATTTTGTTTCTACACTTTTTTAAATATTTTGTCAAATGTTGAAGTCTAAAAATCTATTAGTTTGGAAGTAGTGATGAAATAAAGCTAACAATGTCAAATTTTTTAAAAACCCAAATTCAACTTTGGCATCCTATAACTTCAAAACCTGTTAAAATATAAAAAAGTGGTCTTCAAAATTTTGTTTCTACACTTTTTTTAAATATTTTTTGAAATGTTGAAGTCTATAAATTTGTTAGTTTGGAAATGTTGATAAAATAAAGCTAACAATGTCAGATTGTTAAACACCCGAATTCAACTTTGGCATCCTATACCATCAAAACCTGTTAAAATTTATAAATGTGGTATTCAAAATTATGTTCCTACACTTTTGTAAATATTTTTTTTAATGTTGAAGTCTATAAATCTATTAGTTTGGAAGTAGTGATGCAATAAAGCTAACAATGTCAAATTGTTTAAAAACCCGAATTCAACTTTAGCATTCTATAACTTCAAAATCTGTTAAAATTTAAAAAAATTGTCTTCAAAATTTTGTTTCTAGACTTCTTTTAAATATTTTATTAAATGTTGAAGTCTATAACTCTGTTAGTTTGGAAGTAGTGATGAAATAAGGCTAACAATGTCAAATTTTTTAAAAACCCAAATTAAACTTTGGCATCCTATAACTTCAAAACCTGTTAAAATATAAAAAAGTGGTCTTCAAAATTTTGTTTCTACACTTTTTTAAATATTTTGTCAAATGTTGAAGTCTAAAAATCTATTAGTTTGGAAGTAGTGATGAAATAAAGCTAACAATGTCAAATTTTTTAAAAACCCAAATTCAACTTTGGCATCCTATAACTTCAAAACCTGTTAAAATATAAAAAAGTGGTCTTCAAAATTTTGTTTCTACACTTTTTTTAAATATTGTTTCAAATGTTGAAGTCTAAAAATCTATTAGTTTGGAAGGAGTGATGAAATAAAGCTAACAATGTCAAATTTTTTAAAAACCCAAATTCAACTTTGGCATCCTATAACTTCAAAACCTGTTAAAATATAAAAAAGTGGTCTTCAAAATTTTGTTTCTACACTTTTTTTAAATATTTTTTGAAATGTTGAATTCTATAAATTTGTTAATTTGTAAACGGTGATGAAATAAAGATAACAATGTCAGATTGTTAAACACCCGAATTCAACTTTGGCATCCTATACCATCAAAACCTGTTAAAATTTATAAATGTGGTCTTCAAAATTATGTTTCTACACTTTTTTTAAATATTTTTTTCAAATTTTAGAGTCTATACATTTGTTATTTTGGAAATTGTGTCTTCGTAAGTTGGCGACATATGGAAAACTTTTTTTTTAGCAATATACGTAGTGCGTCAAAAAATATAAATTTTGCTCAAGAGTAAAATACTTTTATTTTTGATAAACCTCGCATACTTAAAATTTATTATCTGATGGGTTTAGATCATTCATAATTTTTTATGAACAATACATTTTTTGAAAAAACTAATAATAAGTTTTCCATATGTAGAAAACTTACGTATATTTTTACATATATTTTTACTTATATTTTTACCTATATTTTCACCTATAATTATGTTTACTTATAATTTTACTTATATTTTTTATTAATAATTTTATTTATATTTTTTATTAATAATTTTACTTATATTTTTTTAAATATTGTTTATATTGTTCTATATTGTTCTACATTTCCCTGGAGTCTATATAGGTATATTTTTTTATTTAAGTATTTTAATAATTTTATATTTTACCATATTTTTTATGTTAAAGCAAGTATCTTAACACATTTATTGACTGGCCTTTATGTCTGGATTTTGTTTGTTCTATACATTTATTTTAATGTTTACTTAATGTGGAAATAAAATTATATATATATTAAATATATGGAGATGCAAAGAAATTTTGGATTAATATATAGGTTTAAACATTGATTTTACTTATAAATAAAAAATAATCAATGAATGAAAAACCGTCCTGGTCTATTTTAAGTGACGATTTAAATTAGGTGGTGGAAATGTTTGTAGCTTTAAAAATCGCTTCTCAGTGTTGATGCACGATATGTGACGTATTACTGTCAGTTTGTTAAACAAACACAAGTCCATTAGATTTGTTGCATCACATATGTCATTCTCGCGCTACCGCCGACCACCCAAGATCGGCTAAAAACTTTACAGCACACACACATACACACCTCTTGCTTGTCACGAGATGCCTGATGCCCGCCCTCCCTGATTTGCTTTTGCAAAGCGCCCGGCGCATAATCTGGATCTGTTAAAATAAACTTCCGACGGATATCAATATCACGAATCACAATTAAAAATAAAAAAATGTAGTAAATATTTATTTTTTAAAAGTGTGTTACAAGTTTTCCTTAGGTAATATAACATTAATTTCACTTTGTGCGTTTATCAAAGTTTTTAACGAACCAAAATAACCTTAATGTAAAAAAGTACGCAATTTCAATGAAACTAAGAACGCTGCATCCCAAAAATAAGCCCGCCATTCCACCAATATACACTGAAACATAAAAAATATTAAAATTGAATCAAACGCCTATTAGGCATGCAGAAAACAAAATGATTGCCCGTGGACATTGATACGGCAACCCTGTGAACCTAGTGCATTTGACAGGTTCAATGATATATGTAGTTGTATAGATTGATCATCGATATGCCTTGAATTAAAAAGTAGGTAATTATTTTCTCGATTTTGGTGTAAGAATGTCATATTCTCGCACGCAAAATCTTAAACGATTTTTGGTTATATTTAGTTAAAACTTATCAGTATATCTTCCAGTTGACATTCAGTACTTTACTAGTCACATACTTTGATTACTATACGGTGCAAGAGAGAGGTCCGACACGCCCAACATAGGGCGCGGCCATTTTGATTCCTATGCCACAGTTTATAGCTAAAGAATCAGATCGCTCACTCTGCGTCAGCACTTTTGATCTCAATGTTCCAGTTTACACACTGAGCAACTCGGATAACACAATATATGACAACCGCCTATAATAAAAACAGCAATCCTCTGCGTATCCTGAATTTGTATCCCTGGAGTGGATGTTATTTTGGAACTTTCAACTGGTCCGAGTGAGCTAACTGATTCTTTAGCAATAAACTGTGACTCCAGAAATAATATTCACTGACAGCAGCAAGCAAAATATCAGGTGCGTTTTAATCATCCACTTCTGCTTCCGGAATTGTCGGTTTAGTCGTTTTAACCTGTCAGATTAAAACAAGAAAACCGACAATTCCGAAGCAGAAGCGGATGATTAAAACGCACCTATTAAAAATATTTCAAGATGTAGGCAACACGTAATAAGGGATCAAAATGGCGGAGTTTTCTATCTCCTTTTAAAAGGCACTCAGAAAGCTGCGCAGTGCGACCATTCTCCGTATAGTAAAAGAAAATCAAAGTACGTGTTACTAGTAAATAAATTCCACCTGTCAGTTGGTTAGTAACTAAGTGTTACCAACTCACTTATTTTAGAAAAAAAATCCCCAACAACGACTATAAAAAATAAAAAATAAACGACAGAAAGCTCAAAATCGATTAAATTGTATAAAAAACACGTTGCACTCGTTTGTCCAGTCGCTCCTTCGTCACTCGTGGCTAAATTTCGAATTCATGTGGAATATCTGGCCTTCTGCAACTTGTATTTTAATATACTATTTTTTTTACTATATTTAAAGACTGAAATTTGGTTTTAAAACACATTTTTGTAAACCGATTTTGATTAATGATTACTATCGAAGCAATATGACCGTTCACACTGCGTCTTACTTTGAGCAATCTATATAACTTTATTATCATTGTCCCAGTCAAAGCTCACAGGAAGCAATTTTGATTGGCGTTGGAATGTCCAATCGATCATGACCTCAGAATTAAAAAAAAACGTACCTAAAGGTAGGCAGGTACCTACTAGAATATAATTACAGCAGTCAATTTGACAAAAATTAAAACAAGTACATCTCACGTACGCTTTTTTATGAATAAAAATGTCATACATAATATCATTATTTTGTCAAAACTCAACAATCGGTTAACTATTATGGAATTAAAATGTTTAATAGACAAATAGAAATTAAAAAACCATCAAACAAATTTATTTTGTTAGAAGAATGAATAAAAATGTCTATAAAGAATGTTTTACTAGTTATAGTGTATCTTAGGTTATCATACGTCAACTCGTCACTTAACATTTTTGGCGCCCAACGTGGGGCTCGTTACAATTTATTTGTTTTTTTTTAACGTTTTCGTTTATTTGCAACAACTTTATATGTATATTCTAATTAATTTTGTAACCTTAGCTGCATTCTGACATATTAAAAAAAAATTCTATCAGTTATTACCCAATAGATCAGAAAACCCGAAAATGACGTCTCTTTTTAATCTCATTTTTGGGTATTCCACCATACCCCATTGCAAAGTGGAGCCCAGAAACCAGTCTCTTTGATCGCTGAATTCGATGACGTAAACTGTTTCGTCACAGTTTGCCACGCAGGAGCATTGGTTTTTTAGAAATACCAGGTCTTCTGGAATATAAACAAAATAAGATTTCGACAATAAAACTAGCAAATTAAATTCGTTATTTATTAAAAAAAATAATTTTAATTGGATGTGTTGCTCTACCTCTATATTTTGAGAGACAATGCAAGCCTTTTACATCGCAAACTTCTTCCCCTTCTGAAAAATAAAAATCAAACTAAATAAATTTGGTAACTATAGATGAACAAATGGTTAAAATTACATTAAATACGTTGTATGTTACAGTGATATAATAAAAATACAGGTAGGTATGTCACATAAAAAAATTGTAAAAACCGCATACCCAATTTTCTGTAAAAATGCGGCAAGCAACCGCAAAACTCTTTAGCCAACTTTATTCTGCACTCCATTCTGCAAGCGGCATAGGAATAAAACGGAAAATGCGCTAAATTGCTTTCGTAATAGAAACGACATTGTCTTTGCTTGACGCTGAGACTTCTGGTACGTTCGCTGGAAAAAATCGTTAGAGCTGACAGGTAAAATTGTAAAAAATTACCGCTCGGCACTTCGATGTTTTTCGTAGCCATGTCGATCACTTCGTAAGGACCGTGGAAATATACCTGCAAATGAAACCCACACTACAAATTTGCATTTTTGACTAAAACTAGACCTAACTCTATCTTACGAATAGTTTGCAAATTGGCTATTTTTAAAAAGACTGCATTTGTTAACATGGACGATAAGATTACCCAGAAAAAATCTATAACGAACTGTAATTACGCTGACATTGGTTGAAATGATCCTTAGCAACACCATAGTATTTTTCTAATTAATATTTCTTTGATTCAAACAAGTTTGAAGCTTATTCAAAGCAATGTTGAATTAAATTTATTATTTTGTCATTTCAAATAAATTTTTAACCGACGAAATATTTTTTTATGTTGTTCGGTAGTCCCATATACATTTAGTCAAAATTTAGTCTATGATAAAATCATCAAATTCAATTTGTAATGCCATTTGCACCATTTTGAAGTCGTTTTTTTTAAATTACTTTGGAACTTGTAAAATATTCAAACAAATAAAAAAGTGATTTAAATTAATAAACATTTTCTATCAATAATGTTTGAAATAATAATTATTGTCTACACGAATTTGAAAAGAATTAAAATTATTTATAATCAAATAACTTGAATGATTATCTTGGATTATAGAAAATTTGTTTAACATAAATAGATTTCAAATAAAAATATTATTATTTGATTGATTCAAGAAAACCTTTTTCGCAGTGTAGTATCATTTATGACCTACCTGTTTGTTACACCCTGTACAATAACTGCTCTAACTGAGACGAGAATCGTTTCAATTGAATCAGTGGAACGTTGGTAGTGTTTTAAATTAGGAAAAAGTGGAAAACAGTTTTTCAAAGTGATGCCAGTCTCAGAAGGGGTGAGTAATAATATACCTACTGTTTAAAATCTAGTTTTGAAAATGTTATAAGTGAATAATAGTTGATTTGATTATTAACGCGTAAAATAAAGTCATTTATCGAATATTTGTCAGCTTTGTAACAAAAACCTGGTTTTCATAAAAAGACGATATTTATTTATATATTATAGTTCAGTTAAAATAGATTCTTTCTTGGACTATGGTAACGTGAATGTGAATTATAATTTCACTGTCAATAATAAATTCATTAAATGTGTAGTTTGTAAAACTTTCAGTGATAACATAACAATATACCTTACCTTGTACCCACTGGATACGTTAATCATGTTCACAAATACTTCGCCTTCCAGAGGATTTATATAAAAAATTTCTGTCTCTGGTAATAATTTCCAACTCCCATTGTTTCTATATCTAAAAATATTATTGCTAAATTACAAATAACACAAACAGCCAACTTTCATACGCACAAGCTTTGTTGTAAACGAGTTAAATGTAATTATTTGCAATTCATTAAAAAATACTAATCTAAAATAGGATGTTTGTGTAAGCGTCAACCAATTCGCTGAATAACTGTTTGAAAAAGTCATATGAAAAAAAAAGAAGACGAAAAAAGAAGAACTGTTAAGTAAAGGAGGGAAATATGTACTTCATAAAATGAGCATTTTAGAAATATTATACAATAGAAAAAGAACTATAAAAAGTATATTAAAAGAGTGTTAATGATAAATGTGAATATAAAGGGATTTTATTAGATAAGGTTTTTTATGGTAAATAATATTTCTCAAATAATATGGAATCTGAATAGTTTTGAATCTGGAAAATAATACTTACTCGTAAGAATTATAAATGGCCAACTGCGAATTATAACTGTAACACCGTCCCATTTCAGTATAAGTTTCCTGGACACTGAGAAACTTGTTATTACCAGCTGAATTCGTAATATCCATCTTTAATGGAAAGCTGAACTTGTAAATCAATTTAACAAAATCCTCACTATCAATTCCTTCGTAATCGATAACAGAATCCAAATTCAAATAACTAGCCTCCAGAAGGGTTATAATGAAATCTTTGTATAGAGTTTTATTTTTAATATCTTCATTTTCGTTAACAAATTTCTCTAGTTTATCAGGATCGTATTTTTTGCTGGAACAAATAGTAGCAGGAGGAAATGAGGTATTCCAAGAAAACCTGTCTCTTTCCATCGATATTACTGTGGGATTTTCTCTGTATCTCGTCAAAGTGAGGCTGCTTAAAATTCCCGCCCCGCAAGCAGCTACTGTTACAAGAAGTATCCAAAGAACTCTTTCAAGAGGATGTCGACCATCTTGCGAAATGTGCGGGAATCCGTGGATGGTGCTCATGTCAAAAAACATTTTCGTGAATTCGAATATCATGTTCAAGTAGTAGAATTTGTTTTGCTTTGTTTGTTTAGTAACTGATGGTTTCTGGGTGTTGATTGATGGCGATTTTTGTTTTTTACTTTTAATCATTCTTGAAATTGTGTTTATTTATTATGATCTTAAATTTATAATGTGAAAGCAATTTTGATTAAAATTTCTGATCTGCAAAAGAAAATAAATCTAAAGAATGCCCATTGGCAGACACAAAGCCAAATCCTTCAACATCTTCATCAATTTGTTGTGCAGCAACAGATTCAAATCTAATTAAAACTAAAGCAACAATTGTAAAAGAACAAGTTACACATTCTATTGCTCGTGCTCTACTGGATTGTGGCTCACAATCTACTTTCATTACAGAATAGCTTTCTGATAAGTTAAACTGCCAAAATATTGTGGATGTTCTCTGGTAAATTGGGAATACAGATTTACATAGAGACTTCAAGTTAGAGAAAGTTAAAGAAGAAATCGAAAGGTATGCAAAAATACGAAAACATAGAGATGTTTCGGACATGAAGTAGAAAGAATACTGAAGAGGACAGCTCCTTCAGATCTTGTGGGACTTAAAAATGAAAGTGTTAAGTGTAAATTAGCATAAATAAAAAAAAAGTAAAACAAAGACGGTAATGAGTTTTGAACTTTTAGTTTAATTAGGGTTATTAAAAAAATATTTAATAGATGCCTTAGCAATATCACGGAAGGTTCGACACCATCAATCATGGCTGGGTTGCCAGATTTGCAAAAGGAAGATGCGTGGAAACGATGATAACAGGGGATCAGATAAAAAAAACAACAGTATTACTGGTATTTTTATAAAAAACAGGTAATTTTTTGTGGAGATCTAAAAAATTGGTCTTCCGCTTATATTTTTATAAAACAAGTCCTTTTTCCTGGGGAGATAAAAGCGTGTAGTTCTTAGCGTGCACTAGTATCCAAGCTAAGGTCTGTTTATTTTGATTGCTTAGGTACACCTAGACAGTATTTCAGCAAATCTGATTTGTTTTTTGGTAAGAAATTTTCTTTTCTGATTGCTTGGGTATCAGAGAATATATGGAGATGTTTTTACCTAGCACTATCTTATAATGATGTTAGGTATTCTAGTCAGTCAGTGGCGTAGCCAGCCATTTTTCATGGAAGGGGTTTTTGAGTATTAGAGGGGGTTCCATCAAAAAACTTAATAAAAACAAACAGTCAATAGAGATCGCCAATACTATAGCGAGGACCCTCCATGGGGGGTTCTGACCCCCAACCGCCCCTTGGCTACGCCATTGTAGGCAGTATTTTAGCAAATCTGATTTGCTTTCTGGTAAAAAATTTGCCTTTCTGATTACTTGGGAACCAGAGAAGAAGTCGATGGTTTTACCTGGAACTATATCTCAGTGAGCTTAAACAAATACTTATTAAAAAATAGCACAAAATATTCCATAGATCCTTTTCTAATTTCATAAAAAGAAATGTTAATTTTTGGGTATCAATTAAAAAACTTACCGAGAATTTTCACTGTTTTTTAAAAATGTCTAATATATTTTTTTTAATTTCTATACACTTTATGAATAGTTTTAGATCTATAACTGTGAATTAGGTATTTTAATTTAAATCGCAATGATTTAATGTTTTCTGCCAGGTAGGTATTGAACTCTTGAAGGAGATGAACATATTGAAAAGCTTTCCTAACAATACGAACGCTATGATGAGTTTGTATTGTACTGATATAATTTTTGATATGCCTAATATAAATAATTCAAAACAAGAATTTTTCTATTGTATTGCATTGAAAAACGTTTATTGTGTTCGAATACATATTATAATAAAATAATGATTGATGGTGTGATAAGAACCTTATTAAGAAGGAATAGGTACACTAAAAATTATGTATTAGTTTGTTTTAGAAAGTTTTTTATTATATTTTAATCGATAGTGAATATAAACTAATATTTTCCAGCTGGAGATTTTTCTGGAGAAGAAAAAATGCTGAATATAATTTGGATTATATCGGTAAATTATTTTTTGGTAAAAAAATATTAAATTAACCGGATTTAAAAAGAACAAAATGTATTTTTCATTCGATAACATTGACACAACATTAGTTAAGGTATTAAAATATAAAAAAAAATAAAAACTGTTTAAAAAAATACAAGGAAATAAACAAATTTGTTAAATAAATGTAATATCGACCACTTCTTCAGTTACAGTCTGTTCGCTATACTTACGCGGGTTTCAGATTAACAAAATTATGCAAATTAGTCATTGACAACCAGTTCCAATAAGCCTCTTCCCAAGAAATTAGGTAAAATTGTCCTAATGGTCAGATTTAAATTAAAATAACATTAGGGTAGGTACTAAATTTGTTACAAATATTGCAGTTGAATTGATTCTTTGCAAGTGTTGACATTGTATGTATATTATAAATTTAGTGGAAATTTTAAAAATGCCTAGACGTGTGTTAGATGTAGATAGTCTAATTTGTAGTGTACATAAGTATTTTACGGATGAAAAAGAAAATAGCGGTCTTTTAAAATCGGTAATGTCTGTACAACAACGCGTATGCGATGATTGCGATGCTCTAGGAATTAGTGAAACCAAATTAAGAGGAGCATTACAAAATCACAATAGTGAACTGCCGAAAGAAGATCACCGCTAAAACTCGCCCATCATTGAAAACGAAAGATATTCCAGATGGAAAAAAATTTGAAAATTCGTGATACCATTTATCGAATGAGGACCAACAAGGAACGTGTGACCTTAAATACAATTCTCTCGGAATTAATAGATAGAAAATTTGACGACATTGGCAGAACAAGTCTATGGCAAGTGATACATAACTTGGGTTTCAAATTTCAAAAGGAGGATAACAGAAAGGCCCTTTGTGAAAGAAATTCTGTCGTGCACAAGAGAATTAACTTTCTAAGAAAATATTCTAAATTTAAAGAAGGGGCGAATTTTATATATTTAGACGAAACATGGATATTATCTAGGGGTGCAACCAAGAGAATATGGCAAGATGGTAACGTAAAGTCCATCAAACATACCGATGGAGAAGGGAAGCGACACATAATTTTACATGTAGGAGGGAAATCGGGTTTTATAGAAGGTGCTGATTTAATATTTTCATCTATTTTCCAGTGATTATCACGATAATATGAACACAGAAATGTTTGTAAAATGGTTGCATGAAAAACTTCTCCCAGGTTTAAGTGAGCCCAGCGTAATTATTTTAGACAATGCACCTTACCATTCTGAAGTATTAAACAAAAGTCCAACGACTTCTTGGACTGTTGATAAAATTAAGGAATAGATAGATAGATAGATAGATAGATACTTTATTGTTTTAAAATATAAAATTTTATAAACAAAGTCTAAGTTCTTATAGTACTAATAGGTATTTACACAATTTAAAATTATAATAAGAATGGTTGACAGAGGAACATATACCATTATTTCCTCAATATATATTAAAATCAGAATTATTACGCTTGGCAAATATACACGCAAAACCAAAAACCTTTGTTGTGGATCAGATTATTGAAAGTTACGGTCATCAAGTTTTACGTCTGCCACCGTATTATTCCCAGTTTAATCCCATCGAATATATATGGGGAATAGCAAAACAATATTATGACAACCATATTGGGCCTAATGGTTATAGTGACGACGCAGTTCGGGAAACTTGGCGAAAAGCACTTTCAATCGCAACTCCAGAAGTGTGGCGGAACTGTATATCCAAGTGCGAGATACTAATAGAAGATTGCTGGACTCGTGAAAATAAAATAAACGAAATAAGTCCAATCATAATAACAATTAATGGTGATGACAGTGATGATGATGACGATTATGATATTTTGGATGATAATGACTGATTTTCATTTTTGTTGGCAAGTTCAATTTTTTTATTTTTCATTTGAAATTCTCTACATGGAACAAATTTTTATGTTAGAAAATATTTTATTTGAGCTAAATAACCCTCTTATTATACATAGACCATATTTTCTGTGTGAAGTGTAATATAAAATTATTATTAGGTTTATAATAGCCACATTAAACTTCATTAATGAAGAAGTTTAATTCTGCTCTCAGTTATACAAAAAATTCTCCATTATTATTTAATTAAAAAGTTGTACATTCTTTTTCATTTCATTTAACCAGTTGATATTTCCCCAAAGAACAGGTCAAACTTTCGGGTACTTACCTGGAAATACTCATCAAATTTTTAATCCGAAACCTGCGTAAGTATAGCGAACAGACTGCAATATCGTATATTGCATTGGCGGCGAAATAACTTTTCTTGGGAGGGGATTTGAACTATATAGTGTACTTAAAATCTGGTTAGGTCTATCTTAGTACCCTTTCGCTGTAAATCTATATAAGTAAACAGTAGTTGTTGAAGCAAATATACAACCTGTATGAGCCCAATGTCCATACTTTCGACGTATATCCATACAAATAGCATAGAAAACCAATTCTATATATCAAAAATGAAACCATAAGCACAGTAGGTTTCAATTTCTGTTTAAATGTTATATTTATATTGGTCTTCTATATTATTTCTATGCGTATATACTTATTTATACCAAACTCACATGAGCAACATTTTTCGTCATCATTGCTTTAAATTTTAACTTCTATTTGTTTGTTTTGTTCTGTAGAAGCTGAAATGTTTGCTTGTTGCAGCCATTTTGGACTGTTTCATATTATTTACTTCTTTCTCTTTTTTCTTTTCTAGTATGCTTTTTAAAGAGGTTAAAATTAATATTTACATAGCGGTAGATTTGTTATTTTTTTTGGTTGAACCTTCGATGTCAGAAACTTCTTCCAAATCTAAGATAATTTCTTTGATAATCCTAATCTAAGAGAAACAATCTGTTTTATCTAAATGCGTTTACGATACATAGAAGACACATTCTGAGTGACGATAACTGACGCATTTCTTTAGATAATTTATTTCTGACTGAGAAATAAAAAATCCAACTTAAACTCAGTTGATAATCTAGTTTTATGTTTAAAAGGTTGGAGGTTATTATGAAATAATGTAATTGTTAAGCAATACAAGAATTGATAATAAATAATATAATTTGTAGCAATAACAAAAATTTTGTGGCCAGTTTATCGAACATCGTACTTATTATCTGTTGGTATTATTCCTTTAGTATTGAGACATTTTTTTATAACGTAGGATTAAGTAAATTATTCGAATTATGATATATTATTTAAAATAAGATTTAAGTAAAATTTTAAAATGTGGAAAACGAAAAAATTTGCTTCGACTATACAGAATCTGACTATAAGGGGATATGTAAGTTTTTTACTTTTTTGAATTATATTTTTTTTATTTATTTTTTATATCTTATAATATATTTAAAAATAAAAAATAGTAGCAGCCACGTCACAATACAAGGTTGGGACCAGGGCTGGTATATATAAGGGGGTCGCGGCATAGACCCAGTGAATAGATGAGAGGGTGACTGAGGCTAGGGGGAAATAGTATATAGTCAAGCTTAAGTTGACAACATTTTTCTGATGTTCGTTTGGCGAAATCCACGGTTATCGTTTGTCCTGCCGTAATAGTATTATAAAAACAGAGATAGATCTACTTTTAACGTGCATCGTGCATAATAATGTCAATATGGTACAAGTGGAATGAACCACTGTTTTCCTCGTAGTCGAATGTCGAATTAATACTAAAAACATTTTGTACTTTTTTATATACCAAAATTATGCAATTTGTTTTAATGTTACATGAATAGGCACATGCGTTTATGCTGTGATAAATAAGTGTTCATGTGAAAATTATCTCTGAAACTGCATTGTGACTGCACTCATCTCAAAACTGAATGCTGTAAATCCAGAATTTAAATCTTTCATAGTGTTGCTTGGGATAAATTGTAAAAAAGGTGTTGGACAAAACGTTTACAACCTAAAATTGCATGGAAAACATCATAGAAGAAGGAATTTTACCTTTATGACATTCTCTTTCAACATTTTTAAGTGACTAAGTTTGTGGTTTGGTGAATGGACAGTTACCACAGTCAAATAATTCAAATAAAAAAAAAGTGACTAAATTCTAATAAGACATAAGTTGAATATGAAAATGTAATTACTTGATTTAAATGTGATATAATTAAGAGCTAAATAGTATTTTCATAAAAACAAAGTGATGTAAAATGTTGATAAATGCAAAACCATTATTAAAGAGAAATTAGTTATCATCAATAGGATATTTTGTAGTAGCTGGTCTCTTTAAATAATAAACTTGAATTAGTAGTCACTTTTACACTAGAAGTAAAAACAAACAAAAATGTGTGGTTGAGACTAATTTATGTATTTTAAAAACATATAATATTTAACATGTTTTATTTAAATAAAAAACAGGTGTTATTTGAAATGTTTTATTTTAGTTTAATAATATTTATAAATTGTACATACAATTTGTATAAATAAAACGATATTTTCAGACGTGGTGTAGCTCAGTGCTACACTTTCGATGCAAAGGAAAAGACCTAAAGTATGTGGGTTGTAACGCTATTTTATTTGAAATAGTACTAGCCTGCCAATTTATAGAAAATGTATAAACGGTTTTTTTTTAATAATATTTTCATTGTGTTTGACTTAAAATATTTAAATTTAATCCATTATTTATGATTTCACGTATTGTAGATACATCGTATGTCGCAACCCTTTAGACATACCAAACCTTAGCTCCACGTAGAAGGTAGGGACCTTAGATTATAAAAACCGTAGACAGAATATAAGACACTGCACATAATCCCACTTCGAGACCAATCAATAACAGTTGAGAGGACGTCACATGTCAGAGTGTTGTCGATAAAAAAATAATAGCATTCCACAAGATATTCGTCTATATTTACAAATAAATCGTAAATTTTATTAACACTAAAACCAATCTAAATATCTGTATTAAAAAAAAGTTTTTTTCGTTCGTGCAGAGGTAGAGTAGTTACATGTGGAAGGTCTAAGGTTGAAATCTAGAATGAGGACTAATTAAAATATTTTTAAAATATTTATTTTATCTTAACCTCTAAATTAATTTTAAAATTTTGTAGATTTCTTATTTTTTTTATTAGGATAAAATATAATTAAAAATGAGTGATCCTTTTAAAGAATTGATAAATAATAACAATTCGTTAGATATTCATCGTTAATAGTCAAAGAAACCGAAATGTTGGTAAAATTATAACAAAATGACCTAAACCAATTATTTAAGTGTAAATGTTAAAGATAAATAAATGATATTGTGAAAATGTAAGGGATGAGTTTTCGTACGAAATGTCCGAGTGTTTTTCAAGTTTATTTTATGTTATAAATTAGTAAAATTTAGAAATTCAAATCTTTGTGTTAAATATATTTAAAATTGTTATTTTATGTTAATAACCTTTAAATTACTTATTAAAATGTGGTAAACTTTCTTCGGTGTTTGGTAGAAAAAATATGTTATACAATTTCTAGTGGTTCCTTCGTATCGCACTCCGCCTATGTGGCGTTGTGAACAAACTAGAACAGAAGTAAAAGTTGGAAATGCTTTTGCCAGTTCTCCCACTTTATACACATAAATTGACAGGTTGGCACCGGATCTCACCGAAGTGGACGCGATACATTGGCGTACAAAATTATTTTATAGATTTTAATAACAATTTCGAGTAAATAGTTTAATAAATTGCGAATAGCTGTTGAAATTTTATAAAATTATAATTTGAATATTATAATACATGTTTAATAATTATTTATAATCCATAAATACATGCGATTGTCCGGTTCCGCCGATAACAATTTAAAATTACTTATTCTATGAAACGACACTGGCAGGTAAACATTACTGTGAAATTCTCGGAGCCGCCCGACGTGGTTTGACGTTTACCCCCTCTCTACCTACCAAAAGACTTTTCAACTTTTACTTTCTCTATACGTCTCCGTGTAATTTGGTCATCTTTATCTATCAACTCTTGTTGCACAAACTATTATTTGTCTTGCATAAATATTTTATCTAAATTTGTAGATCGTATGTTTTGAAAATTACATACGAAAGTACGAAACTTTTGAATTTCAAGTACTCAGAAAATCCTATTACTTTAAGAAAGTCAGTCGTTACAATACTTACGGTTCGAATTAAAAAATTGTGCACAAAAACAAATGTAGTAGGTAGGTATTCTCGAGACAATCCCCTTATTATATGATATTGCTTTTAAAATAATAAGTATTATTTGCATTTTCTAAAATAGTTCCGTGCCAACCATACCTATTTCGATTTTAACAACAAAAAAAGGTATATTGGAATTTGAATAAAAACTGGCATCGCTGTTTATGTGTTTCTATGATTCAGTGATTTGAACTTACGGGGCGCAAGCTTTTTGCAGGCGGCAATTTTTGTATTTATTAGTTATTTGTTATTTTTAATAAAATTCTGACAATAATAAGTAGGTAGATGGCCTTATCTAAATGAAAAAGAACATTTTGCAAGTATGTATATCTTTGTTTTGGAGTTTAGTAATATATACCGGGTCATTCTATATGGGCGGAATACTTGATTTATGGCTTAACTATGACTTGTACGATAATTTGACTTAGATAAAAGTTTTTGTACATTTCATGTACTATTTATTGACGTTTACAGATTTCCCGCATACGTAATGATTTTCAAGATATGACGTCATCGGGCAATATTTTAAATACATCAGGGTGATGTATTTATATTTTTTTTCGAGTTCGTATGATCTGTCTGAATTCATCAATGGTATTAAGTGGGTCCCAGACTTATTTAAAATATTGCCCGATGACGTCATATCTTGAAAACCAATACGTATGAGGGAAATTTGTAAACGTTAATAAATAGTACATAAAATGTACAAAAACTTTTATCTAAGTCAAATTATAGTACAAGTCATAGTTAAGCCATAAATCAAGTGTTCCGCCCATATAGAATGACCCGTTCCGCCCATATAGAATGAACCTGTATATGCGTTCTTAGAATTTTCCCGGCTAGGAAAATAGACATATAAGTTACTTTTGTTTATTATAAAGTTTGTTTATACAGGTTTTTTAAAATTTTGTATAAATTACTGAGGCCCTTCCTATGGTGCCTCAGTATTACATTCGTGCAGACGAAAAAATTTTCTTACCACCATTTTTTAAAACTTTTTTTCATGTTTCCGATCATTCCGAGTCCGATAATGCAAAAAAAAAAATTTCGTCTGGTCGTCTGTATGTATGTAGGCACGATAACTCTAGAACGAAAATTCTGATTGACTTGCGGTTTTGATTTTCTTGAATAATTACTTCTAACTTTTAACCCTATTGATTTTCAGAAATTTCGGTTCATCCTAACTACTTTATAAACAATTTTGCATATGCATTTCTTATGTTACAATTTTAGGAATTTCAATTATTTCTAAGTCAACATTCCTAACATTTTTAAAATTCCATAAATTGCAAACATTCTCTAACGACCTGTCAAACAACAGCTGTTGATAGTAAAGGTGGGTTGCGACCTTCATACTTGCAATCATAGCCATTTTGGAGGTTATTTTTATTCGAAATTAGTAGCCAAGCCTGCCAATTTATGAAAAATATATAAGCAATTTCTTAAAAATTACTTTTTTATGGTGGTGCTAACTTAAGCGTACTACTATTTCGACCCTAGCCACAAAAACGCCTTCATCAAATTTATTGGCTCTCTGTCGCAACCCCATAGAATAATTAATCGGCCATTTTATTTGGCAAAAATTAGAATAATGGTTGGCTGTGCCTGTCAAGTATCAAGATGTCAACTGTGATGTGTGAATGGCTCTTAAATGTCAATTTATTTAAAAATGTATACTTCTTTTGATATTTATTGCAAATAATTTGTAGTATATCTCAATTCAGGCTTTCTATAAAGGTACAGCAAGATAGATAATATAATGTTCTTATACAAAGGCAGGATATAATGCTGGTTTTTTTGTAAAAAAATTTTATTATACGATTTTGGATTACATATTCAACCAGCGAATTGTAAATAATAATTAGTAAACTTCTAGTCATAAATTTCCTCAATAAATAAAATTTAAAAATAAATCTTCTTACCTTGGTACCAAAGTATTTTGTTATATTTTTTATTTTAATTATATAGTTGTCATTTATTTGTATGTTGAAAGAAGGCCTTTGTAAATTACATTGCTCTCTATGGATCTACTTTAACACAAAAATAGTTTTGTGGCTATAAGTTGCTATAACCTATCGTCGCAAAACTATTAATAATTTAAACATAATAAGTAGTATTTTATAACATCAAGTAATTTTTTAAAATAAAGTACATGATCTCAAACAGAAATAATTTATAATAAATGCAGATAAAACGAGGGGTAAAATAAAAATAAATTAAGGGAAATACTTAAAGTGGGCAGAATTAAACAGTATTATCACAAGAAAGTATATCCGTTCTGTTTATTTATCAAGCATTGGAGGTTACTTTTGAAAACATTTATTGTTTTTTTTTTAATTTCTGTAGGCAGTCTATTAAATTTAATAAAAATTGTATTTTGGGAACTTTTAGGCTTGCCATACATGAAAGTCAGATTGGCTTCTTGTATTTTAGTTGTGATATTTCGAATTATATTGAATTTTTTCTAATAGATCTGATGCGATGGTACTGTCATTTTTATTTTATAAATAAATATCAGTAATGTACTGAACATGATTCTGAACTGAAAGCCAATTTATTTCTTTTAACATAGTTGCAATACTCATCCTTCTGTCCTTTATTAATATTATATAAATAGGCGAAGTTTCTAATAAAAAGGGATTGCATTATTTTTTGTAGCCCACGGGAGCTGAATATCTTAGGACGGCCCTGGTTATAAAGTGTTACAAAAATTAATTTAATTTTATATAAGACTCAAAGCTCAATTCAAAAATGTATAAACATACAATTAATTCAAATGATACGATAATTTAAACACACAATACAAGAATTAAATATATAAAGTATCAAAAGTGGTAATTATAAATAAAAAAAGGATAAAAGGTAAAAGGTTTGAGTAGAATGTCTATTTTCAAAGAAATATATGGAATCTAGTATACAGTATGCTAGTGTTATTGTTATTGACTTGGTATAGTTTTAGATACCGTTGATTCCTCGGTTGATTCTTTTCCAAATTTCCATATTATTTTTTTTACCCTAAATCTTTGAAACAGAGGATCTATACGGACCCATGTTGATAGAAACTGTTTTTGGGTAAGGAATCAACCCTCCCATAAGCGATGGCTCTTTTTTTTAAACATCCTGTATATTGGAAGACTGTTTTATACCACAAAGACCTGAATAAACAAAAAAGGTTGATGAATAAGGTTTTTTGATAAAAAAAAAATGTTTTTTAAAAACGTTTATTCCACAAGTTTTAAATTTAATACCGAACAGAAGCATTAGCCAATATACATATATTGCGTAACAATTGCAATTTCGAAAGCTGACTGAGATGACAGTGTTATCAAAAGTAAATTAATTAATTATCTTTCGTTAAAATTACGTTACCGCTTTATAAATAGAATAATTAAGTTATAATTATCAATATTTCAGTGTTATCAATTTTTCTTTTATTAATATACATTCAATATTAAACTATAAAAAAGCAGTTGACAACATATTTATATTACTTAATGTTTTTCTTTAATTTGGTATTTAATCAAGTGGTGGCTCGTAGCCTATTATACGGAGGGGGTACTACTTTAAATATAAACCAAAGAAAAATTGAAATAGCTGAGAATTATCAATATAATTATCATTTTTTCCTTATTTAAATCGCAGGATATTGTACTAATAATTGTAAAGAACAACATATATCTAGCATCGCATTGCATTTCTGCCAAGGATTCTTAGAATGTAAATTCACATTGTCTTCAGAAATTTTGTAAACAATTCTTCTAACTGTCTCGTATATCTTTGTTATACGTTTTTCAGGCAACCTCGAGAGCTAAGGTGATCGCAATCAGAAGAGAGGATCAAAGTATTTGGGAGAGACGAGCACCATTTTCGCCTAGCCATGTACGCAAACTGGTCAAAAGAGGTGTCAAAGTTATAGTCCAACCAAGCAACAGAAGATCGTACCCAATGCCGGCTTATATTAACGCCGGAGCCACGGTGCAAGAGGATATTTCTGAAGCGTCTGTGATATTCGGTGTCAAACAGGTAGGTACTTTAAGTAATCCACTAAAAATGTTCATCAATACAAAAGATATATTTAAACTTGGAGTAGCCATGTGTGAGTTGGTTAGATGAAAAGGTAGAAAATAATAAAGGTCCTTTAAATCTCACAAAGATATGTATCTTTTATAGTACTTTTTATACTATATATATATATATATATATATATATATATATTTGTGATGTTAGAGGACCTTTCTTCTTTTTTACCTTCTCACAAAAGATATATTTTCATAATAGGTACCCGTCAATCAGCTGATACCCGAAAAAACCTACTGCATATTCTCCCACACCATAAAGGCTCAGGAAACAAATTTGCCGCTATTGGACGCCATTTTAGAAAAAAGGATTCGTCTTATCGATTACGAAAAGCTAATGGACGAAAAAGGAAATCGCGTAGTGGCTTTTGGAAAGATGGCCGGTATCGCCGGAACCATCAACATTTTACATGGGCTAGGATTGAGATTGCTGGCTCTTGGTCATCACACGCCGTTTATGCATATTGGACCAGCGCATAACTACAGGTAAAGTAACGTTTGTCAATTTTCTGACGATTCAAAAAGTATTCGTCCAGTAACTATTACATTTTTTATGGTCCTTCGAACCGATAGGATAATTTTCCTGGATTTATTACGTTTCGTTTCAGGAATGCAAGCATGGCTAGACAAGCCGTTAGAGATGCAGGTTATGAAATCGCGTTAGGTATGATGCCGAAATCGATCGGCCCGCTAACGTTCGTCTTCACCGGTTCAGGAAACGTATCTCAAGGATCTCAAGAAGTGTTTCAGGAACTTCCGCACGAGTATGTCACGCCGGAATTTTTAAAGAAAGCCGCCGAACACGGCAGTTTGAACAAAGTTTACGGATGCGAGGTAAGTGTTAGATTATTTAACTGTCAAGTGGCATGTGTTCCGCGAGCACTAGATTGCTAAAGCTTGCTCTCATGATGTAATAGCCCAGTATAAAGAATAATACAGTAGCGACAGATCATTTTTTATGAGGTGTCCATATTTTTATGCGCATGTCCGAAAATAAGCGACAAAAACGTCAACGTCAATAGTGTCAATGCGATGTAAATATGACATTATTTTTGTTTGTTTGCAGTGTATATTTTGAGACATTTTTATTATTTTAGTTTTTCATTTATTGTGTGATATTTTTGAAATGGCTTCTGCACCTGATCAGAAAAAAAAGAGATGTGTCTATCGCCCTTGTCCATCTCAAACAGAGTAAACAGACAAAGGGACAAGTTATTTTGCATTTCCCATGGAGCCATAAAGGTATGTCTTGAGAAAATACTTTCAATTTTTATATTTGAAAACCAAATATTTATTTGACAACCAAATATTTATTATTTAAATGTCTTGAGGACAATTTTTACAATTTCAACAAAAATAATGTAAAAAATATATAATTTCTCAACTACCGTCAATCTAAACATTTGTTATCAACTTTTTTATATTTTAGGGCCAACATGTGGTTAAGAGCTTGTAATAGGGAAGATTTGAGTAACATAGATGTGAACAGTCTTCATCGGAATTACAGGTTGTGTGAGAAACATTTTGAGAAGAATTTTTTTTCTAAAACGTTGAACCGTAAACGTTTATTGCCTACTGCTGTTCCCACATTTTTTATCCATCTAGGTCATCAGCCAAATGTCTATCTTCTCCCTAGTACATCGACCAAGTGCTTCCTCTGTTGAGACTATCATTGAACATGAACGAGACATTTTTGAAAGCGTACCATGTGCAACCTTTGGACATTCTTAATCAAAAATCCTACCTCCAAATTATTATAATGAATTAGATGTTCTTTGATTCACTATGTCCATTGATTAAAAATGTTCTGATTGACTACATCTAATCAAAATATATATGTATTTCTTGTAAAGTAGCAAAAAGAAAACAAAAAATGTATTTTGTGGTGTTATTATTTTAACTGTTTTTTAATTTTTGATTTGTTTCATTTATACAATATTTAAGCACTTAAACAATAATATATATAATCTTATAAACAGTTGTATGATATATACGTTAGGGAAATTAGGACAAGGATGATTAAATTCTATTTCTTTCATAATATCAAAAAAAGCTATGGGATATACCAGACATTACACAGGTATTGCTAAAAATAGATATAACATTTTTTTATAATTTAAATATATAGATAATAAACTTTTCATTTGGAGTTTTTAGGCCTCCATAAGTGCTTTATTTGCAATCATATGTTAAAATCTGTGAACTATCCAAATCTTCACATTCTTTTGAAAATTTAATAAATGTATCACATCCATGTATGCCTAAAGCTTTTTTGATCAAATAGCCACAAACATATTTAAATGGATTTTGAACTATTATATCTTGTCCTGTAGCTGTAATTAGGAAGAAAAACAGCTTCTTGAGTGTTTTTATTTATTTCAGGATACAGAGAGACAATATTTTTTACATCTAATTGTAGCAAGTGCTTGTCCAGGTCTTCATTACAATTCATGGAATTGCAATGAAGATAATTTTGACAAAAACGTTTTTTAAATGCCCTTTCGAATTGTACAGGTGTTGGATTAATTAAATTCCCACCCTGTTGCCTAATGGACCCAACAAATTTTTCTAGACATTAAATATTTAAATCCCGCAGCAGATAACCATTCCCATACAAATTTTAAACCATAAAATCGTTAAATATAAACATCTAATTTTTATGATGTGACGTTAATAGTATTTAATTATATACATAGGTAATATAAGCAATTGGGCAGCATTTTGCTTAACGCGTGACTTACAACAGGCATTTGCTAAAACTCATCTGAAGTCAAAAATTTGTACGTAGGAACAAAAATTGAAATAAAATAATTCTTGTATTGTAAATTCATTAAAAACTTACTAATTTGTAATTGTGTGTTTTAATAAATATTATTGTTATATGTTGTTTCACTTCTAAAAAGATACCTACATAACCTCATTTTAAATAAAAAAATAAGGTGCTGAGTTAATTTATTAGTTCCAGGAAGAAACCAAAAACTGTTTGACACATTTCATACAATGAATGGCATACAAAAGTAATTTATTTTATTCTAATGATAAAATTTTAAAATTGGCACATCTATATTTTCACCGGAACTCATTTATTTAAGTTACACAATATTTTGATTAATTTATTTGCCTAGAATACATTAAAATGTTATATGTACATGTTTTAATTTTTTTCTAATTGTACATCGCTAATTTGCAATTTTAGAGTTTACTTTTCTCCGTGTAGAAATAAGCGACAAAAACGTCAACTGTCATTGAAAATCTGACCACCCCGACATCAAAGAAGCCGACGCAATCTGTCGCTACTGTATTGTTCTTTATACTGGGGTAATAGTGTCTAGAGTTTGCTCGAACAGAGAAGAGTGTGTACGAATCAAGCCCGCACATTTGTTATGGAAAACCAAACTATAATATAATAAATAGAGAGATCGGGCAAGCACCAATACCGTGATACGCTAATTGCGTACGGAATTATTTGACATCTACGCAAGCGCATATCAAAATATTTACAGAATTACCCTATTACCGTTGTCGCAAAACGCTAATTCCGTAAGTTTGCGAAAGGGATTTATGAAATATAAGGGAAGCCGAATGTATCCGAATTTAATATCATCCATAGTGATATGCCGCTTGTCATTTGTCTTTTGAAACGATTTCCCGGTTTCTTGTTTCTGTTTGGCTTGAATTTGTTTGTTTTGGCGTCTATTGTATTCGTAGTAGTTTTAAAATGTTATATAGTGACATTTTAAACATTTTTTTGTAATTGTAGTTTTTTAAAGTACATTGGGAAGAGGCAGAATATTGCTGAATCATTGTTAGTAGTGTTTTATGGGAATTTATTATTTTATTTAAGTTTATTTAAACCATGCGGTTCTTTATCATTTTGCAAAATAATATTTAGTATAATGAACTCTATATCATCATCCGCCTTTGCCAATATTGCTAATTCTAAAAAAAATAATCCACACAAATATATAAATCTAAACTACGATTGCCACGATCTAAACAAATCAAAATGAAAGGATAGAAACAAAGAACAAAAAGTGTCAAGTCAATGCTCTCAAAACAATGGTCAAATCGAAAATACCCGAAAATATAACGTTAAACCTAAAATAAATTTAGTCTACCCGAACTCTCTACAAAATCACGTTTGCGTGCATTCGGTATTTCGAAAATAACGTAGTTGGTAATTAGCGTAAGGACCCTATTGGTGCTTGCCCGATCTCTCTAATACCTACTTGACGCCACTCTAATTTAGCGAATCGACACATTAGCATGGTAACGTCTAACAACAGTGTTTGGCTCAGCGTGACGTACACATTCTTTTCTATCCGAGCCCATTCTACTAACTTTGTGTTGACCAGTAACCTCTCACGGTCCATCGTTAATAATATACTTATTAAGGTAAGAAGAAGCCATTATTTGGAACGAGCCGACGGCGGAGGGTTCGATCCGGTCGAATACGAAGAACATCCCGAAAGATACATCTCAACCTTTAGCAAGAAAATCGCCCCTTACGCCTCGGTGATAATAAACGGAATCTACTGGGCTGTAGATAGTCCGAAACTCCTAACCATTCCGGATGCCAAACATCTTTTGAAACCAGCGCATGCTCCCTGGTTGCCAACTTCGTTCGGCGCTCCGGCGTTGCCACACAGGATGTTGGGAATCTGTGATATATCCGCTGATCCAGGTAATGTTTCTATCAAAGACATAATTATTAATGTCAGCACAGATATAGTCCAATGGAGGTAAGTTTTAGATGAAATTGAGGGTCATAAAGTCCATAACCGTATTCGGGCAATTAGTGTACGTCCGTTCATGAACATTAATTTGACAGATACATATTTATATCCAGTGGGCGTCCGTTTTTAGACATACGTTTAAGTTTAGTATACATTTAGTAGCATTTTGACGTCCAACTCATTATTTATTTAACTTGTCAGATAACACCTACCTATAGGTACAATCTTTTCTTTACAAAATATACTTAGATGTCCTTGGAATATCAGAAGTTCATAACAAACTCATTTTAGGATGTCCAGACATATAAAATATACATCGAATTGACGTCCAATGGACATATTTGTGCTGTCTATGTCTAGAGGTATCAATTTTTGGTATAGCAAGACTACTACTGATTTTGGAATTTTTTCACTCTACAACTAAAATTTCAGGTGGTTCTATTGAATTTATGAACGAATGCACGACAATAGACACGCCATTTTGTCTTTACGACGCGGACAGGAATAAAGACACGAACAGTTTTAACGGACCTGGAGTGTTGGTGTGTAGTATCGATAATATGCCGACGCAAATACCCAGGGAAAGTACCGATTTCTTCGGGGATCTCTTGTACCCGTTTACCTTCGATATATTGCAAAGTAATGCGAAAGAGCCATTGGAAAATCACAATTTTTCACCTGCCATACACGGGGTAAGTATTTTTCTCAATTATCTAATTTTCTTTCGTAGCTACATAGCATTTTCAAATAGTTACATAGATTTAAAACTTTAAACAAAGAAATGTCAATGTCAATTCAAAAAAGGTATATGTTATGATTACACTTTGAACCGTTACTGTCAGTAAAATTCAAACAAATGAGGTTATATTTCTTCAAATCATTAGTAACTATAATTTTGGTTAGTATACGTTTACTTTACGCTAATGCCTTTATTTTGCATCGTGAGGCGAAATTTAGCTACCCTACGTATTTCCTCACAAAATTTACTATTTAACAAATTATTAGGTAGGTATACTATAATAAGTTTAAAGATAGTTTGTGAATTAGGCAGTTAAAGTGTTAAATACGAAGATAAAAGTTGTTTATTTCAATGTAAACACATTATTATCTAATCTTATCGAAACCTCAAAATGTTAAGTGCATCAAATTATTATTTTTGTTTAGGCAATAATAGCAAGCAATGGAAAACTAACTCCAAACTACGAATACATTCAAGAACTAAGAAAATCTGCTGGGTAAGATTGTTAAATATATTATATTAATTAAGTTTTAAATGAAATATATTTTCTGTATTTTTAATCTACATCACGCTTGAACCCACTTGTCTATTACCCATGATGTAACTTGTGTTCTGACAATAACAATAGACTTATAAAAATAGAGGTTAACCTTTTATTTCTATTATTTTCATGATTGCATTAATTTAAATATTCTGATGATGGGTTTTATGCACCGTGACGTCGGAGATTTTCTGTTTTTCTGTTTTTATGCAAGCGCGTGTTTGCACAGAGGTATATTCAGATTTACATTTAAATACATATGTTTTAACAGTGGTATACTCAGATATTCGAAAATAACAACTCATGCATAATTTGTTTTTTATTTTATTAAAATGATATGCAGGTAAAATTTCCTGTTTTTCAGGAAAAGTAGACATAAAGTAGAAATGAACGGTTCAGCGGAAAAGAACGTTCTCATCCTCGGAGCGGGCCGGGTAGCTTCACCGCTAATCGAATATTTATACAGGGATAAATCCGTTGGAATAACAGTGGCGTGCGAACAGAGAGACCTCGGCGATGCACTGTCTAATCAATATCCAGGAGTAGAGAGTGTGTACTTGAATGCAGCTGAAAATCCCTCGTGTTTGCAGGTAAAAATAATATTTCTACCCTTAATTCAGGACACCAGTGTCGAATTTCATCCATAACATCAAATTTCCTTTGATACTATACCCAATTTTTAACCTTAATTTGTAAAACTGACATATGTCAAAGAGTTGCAATTTATGTGCATTAAAACCAAGAAAAAGTCAATTTAAAGTTATCTACAGTAAAGATTGATTCACAAAAAATGTTTCTAAAGTAGGCCATACGAGTTATGTGCAAGAAAACTACACACACCTCTGAATGAAATCCAAACTGTCATTTAAAATAGAAGATTGTACGACATACGTAATTTTTTCAATATCATACTTTAGAAGCATTTTTGTGGAATACTTTAGTAAACTCTCAATAATAATCGGTTGCTACTTCTTTTTTAAAGTATCAACTTTATGGAAAATGTTATTCAGCCATTCTTTATTTACATAAAAGCATCATTTTTGCAGGAGTTAGTGAAAAAGGCCGATGTCGTTGTATCTATCCTTCCAGCTGGCCTTCACCCTATTGTAGCGAAAGCATGCGTCAACGAGGGAGTTCACATGGTCACCGCTAGCTACATGTCCAACGAAATTAAAGGCCTTCACGAAGCGGCTCAAAACGCTGGAATCACAATCCTGAACGAGGTTGGCTTAGATCCAGGTATAATAAGTTTAATAACGACCTAACTTGACAGATGAATACAAGAATATTCCATTCCACAATAAAATTATCCATTTTAAACTCACTGACTGAATTTGATAATCAGACAATTTTTATATGTTTAACATGATGATTTTGACGTTTGACGTACAATTTTTGACGTTTGACGTGAGGATTTTGGCGAGTGACGTTTAATTTAATGTTTTAAACTTTATATATCAAATAAACATCTATATTAACGATTATTAATTACTTCTACATTTTATTTTTAATTCTTCATTGTAGGCATAGACCATCTTCTAGCTCTCGAATGCATTGAAGATGTAAAAGCTCTTGGAGGTAGAATTACCTCATTTGAATCGTTTTGCGGTGGTTTACCGGCACCGGAATACAGTGATAATCCACTAAGGTATAAATTTTCTTGGTCACCGCGTGGAGCACTTCTAAATACCGTAGGATCTGCAAGGTAAGACAAACAGTACAAAACGCGACTCCATAAATATCCTTGTAATTCCCATACATGGTTATGTGAATTTGTTACGATTCATATTTAGTAAAAAGTTACGTTTTTATTAAATCTTCATCAAAACGCCACTAAGTAGAAGGCGTGATCAAAAAGTAGGCAACATCTCTTACACAGTATTCAATTTCTCTCTTTTTCTATGATTTTTATTGTAGGTACTTGAGAAAAGGCCAAATTGTCGAAATAAGCGAAGGCGGTGAACTAATGAGAGCTGCCAAGCCTTTAGACTTCTTGCCCGGATTTAACCTTGAAGGATTTCCTAACAGAGATAGCATAAAATATTCAAAGGTTTACGGTATAGAAGAAGCAACAACGGTACTTCGAGGTACAATTAGATACAGCGGATTCGCGCATGCAGCCAGACAATTACAATTTTTGGGCTTGTTGGACACTGAAAGTCACCCTACTTTACACGAACAGGTAGGGATTTACCAAAATTCAATGGCTTTATAATGAAAAATGTAACCTGAATGTAGGCAATATATTTTACACATTGTCAATCATAGAATGATCTTTTGTTCTGTGTGTGACCTTAACCTGAAAGTAGGCAACATATTTTACACATTGTCAATGTCAATCACAGAACGATCTATTATTTCTTGTGTGAACGTAACCAAAAAGTAGGCAACATATTTAACACATTGTCAATGTCAATCACAGACCTACCTATTGTTCTATATGAGGCGCCAATTTAAATTTCAATTATATTTAATTTTAGGGGCCAGAAGTTACATGGAGGAAACTTATATGCGATCTTTTGGGACTCGAAGATGCCAATATATTTTACGACAATTTAAAGAATAAAATTAGCGAGAGGACAGGGACTGATACGGCTGTGGATATTTTAGAAGAATTGGGACTCTTGGATGAGGTGAAAGTTGTTAAATGCGGTACTCCATTGGATACGCTTACACACTATTTGGCAACCAAATTACCAGTTGGTAAGTTTAAATATTGGAATAAAAGAAGCATGAATTTAACAGTTTTACAGTTCTGTGACAATAAAAATTAATCAATTTTCTTTTGCAGAAAAACATGAACGAGATCTAGTCATTCTAAGGCATGATCTCGGTATTGTATGGCCTGACTATAAAATTGAAAATCGAGGAATTAATTTGGTTGTATATGGAGATCCTTATGGGCATTCCGCTATGGCCAAAACCGTTGGATATCCTACAGCTATAGCTACAAAGATGGTTTTAGATGGTAAGGAATGTCATCATAATAATATTTAAAAAAGGAAAATATTTCTAATGTAAATATATACGACTAACATGTAAAATAAAATTAAAACTGACTGCGCCATGTTGATATGTAATTTAACTAATGAGTTTGTTGTTTAATAAGGAATAACAAGTTAATTAGGCAGGCTTTAATTTATTATATAATACCTACTTAAGTTTATTGTGAGTTGCTACACTCACGTGTCACATAAAATATAACGTTTCCTTCGGAAAACAACGACTCCTTTGGCTAATACCTCAAAATGCAATTAATTATGCCCATAGAAAAACATCAATTTATTTTCAATTTAATTTATGTTTTTTTTTAGGTGAAATCCAAGAACGTGGATGTATATTACCATTTGCTAGAGAGGTTTACAGACCGATTTTGCAGAGGTTGAGAGCTGAAGGTTTAACTAGTACCGAAACGTCAAAATTTGTTTAGATATCCAGTTCAGTTACTCCTAAAAATACCAAATCCTTGTAAAATGTTTCCCTAAAAGATATTTGAAAGCCTCAAACGACGACTATTTCATTTTAAATTATTCTATCATTACAAATATTTACAATTAAGATATGCATTATAAGATAATCGTATTTTTTGATTACTTTTTTATTTTAATAAAATTCTTTACAACTGTTCGTCTTTCTTTTATATCCTAAAATCTCTTTTAACTACTTTAATAAACTATTAAAAACACCCTGTATATTTTTAATATTGCTCCTACCCCCTCGACTACACTGTGTTGTTTTTATTGTTTAAAGGTATTTCTTTTACTATTTTTTTCATTTGATGTTGAAAACTATCACAAAAATATTAACATACCTAGTCATGGCTGACTCAGAAGTTATTATCCAAGCAATTTTATTTAAAAAAAGTTATTTCTCACTTCAAGAAACCCAACAATACCTATTATCTATAACTCCAGATAACCTCCCTATAAATTTGGCGAAGAGCCGACCTGTTTCTTTCATATCTCAAGCTTTTTCACAACTAAAATTCAACGCGCAAGCCTATACTGTCTAAACTCAATTTTCTGCTCTCCACTCATCTTCTAATTGGTCCAAATATGACTGTTTTTACTTACAAAAAGTTATTTCTCACATCAAAAAATACATATTACCTAAAACTTCGTATAAACCTCCTTATAAATTTGTCAAAGTCGACCCTGTTACTTTTATATCTGAAGCACAAGAATAAATAATAACCAGAAGGATATCTCCGATCACGTAATCTTCCGAGGGCTCGTGACCTTCAAGCACAAAGCACACCTACACCGAAACTTTCAGTGCAGTAGCGACCGGCCAGGCTAGGGGATCTTTAATAGGGAAATGCTTACTCGTGTTGTAGTACTGTGCACCACCCATAGATGGCGCTACTTACACAAAGTTTGCTCATTGCATTCGTCGAGCAGATTCAGAGTGTATTCAGAGCAGGTTCAGAGTAACGCAAGTGTACGCAAGTTGTTATTTAAAACTTTCAACAGCTAAAAAAACGCTATTAATGGCAATAATGGTAATGGTTGATTTGTTTTATTAGGTTAGTTTTTCGAAGATAATTTTTAAAGCTTTAAACATATATAATTATGGTGCGAATTCGTCCTTGTGCTGATCCAGATTGTCAGGATAAAGTTAGTCACAGGTAAGGAATACATTTACAATTTTATTTCTTTACAAGTAAAAACTTCTTTTTGTATTTTATTCTTAAATACTTTGCCAAATTTTAAGAGCATACATTATTACTTAAAAGTACCCAATTTGTGAAATAATTTCCAAAATAATGCGGGTAACCTAATGTTTTCTAGGAAAAATTAAAAATCTTAACCTAACTTTTATCATTTTCTATACAATTTCAGTAACTAGACAAAATATGTGAATATTAAGAAGATTGAAATAAATAGTGTTATTAGTATTTTTTTAGAATTATACAAATGTAATGGATACTTTATAGTAGATACCTATATACAATTTTTTTTCCGAATTCAAAATGAGGTACTTTTCAAACATACCAATAATTGTATATTTTATATTGTGCGACTCTTATTATTTTTTGCTCCATATACTGTGACCTGCCTCACCTAGGTATCTTCACAATTTATTGATTCCAATTAATAAAAGTTGCATTCTTACTAAATTCAAATTCCTTCATTTTATTGAAAAATCTATGATATATTTTTAAGAAATGCCGATTCATTCTCACTAGCTAATAAATTAATAGCTCAGCTGAATTGACTCAAAACAAAAATAATAAAATTGAACTTTATATTTTTTAACTGATACTCTTCTTCATTTTTTACATGAAAACGAATCAGCAAACACTGCAATAGGAAGTGACAAGTACACCCAACAGCACACAGAGCCAACTTTCCCCAGGAACTTTCGTTACAACTTCTACTGGATACAACCATGGGTGAACTTCGCAATAGTTTTATATTCATATTTCTTTATTGTGTACTGTAATAAGAATTCGTGCAATTTTAATTCTAATAATAAAAAATATATGGTTATAATCGTGTTTTACTTCATAATAAGATGTATTTTTTGTTCCATAAATCCAAAATTATAATTTTTCGTTTTCTTTTTAACTTAAAATATTTCAAATTTTATCTATCACAGAACATAACCCAATGGATTATATCCATCTAAGTATGTTGAGTGAAGAATAAAATGTTTAAATCATTTTAAGTAAAAAAGAACGAAAAATTATAATTTTGAAAACTTAGTAGTGGTTTATTAGAAAGGCCGAGTTTGAACAACCCGCGCTCATTGACCCCTACCGCCATCTATATAATAAATCTTGAACAAATTTTCAATTATTAGTTATCTTCTTTTTTTTTAACTCAACTATTTGCAACCGCTACGGATGGCGCTGAAAGATGAGTAAAATTTTTCACTGTTGAGTGGCCCATCTTTAAAGGGTATGGTCTGTGCGACCGGCAACGGGCGGTGGTATCGAAATCGTGAATTTATAATTATTATTATTCTGTTATTTTGCTTAAATATTTTTATCGTTAACTATTTTCTGATTTTGTTGTGCTTTAATGACAGTTTGAGTTATGGAAGAAGACCAAAAAAAGCTGGATTTGTTTGTAGTTATGAAGACTGAAAAAATAAATCTTATATCGGTATACATTCATTTTACAGATTTCCTCAAGATGTTGAAAGGTAATATAAATAAAGTATAATATATAAATCAAATACAGGGTGTTTTAAATTAGCTGTTACTTCGGGATATTTTCTGTATCTTTAATCTGAGGGATAGTCACTGGATTTTGATTTAGATGAAAATAATTAAATCAGCACCTTCTATAAAACCTGATTTCCCTCCTGCATGTAAAATTATGTGTCGCTTCCCTTCTCCATCGGTATGTTTGATGGACGTTATCATCTTGCCATATTCTCTTGGTTGCACCCCTAGAAAATATCCATGTTTCGGCTAAATATATAAAATTCGCCCCTTCTTCTTTAAATTTAGAATATTTTCTTAGAAAGTTAATTCTCTTGGACACGACAGAACTTCTTTCACAAAGGGCCTTTCTGTTATCCTCCTTTTGAAATTTGAAATCCAAGTTATGTATCACTTGCCATAGACTTGTTCTGCCAATGTCGTCAAATTTTCTATCTATCAATTCCGAGAAAATTGTATTTAAGGTAACATGTTCCTTGTTGGCCCTCATTCGATAAATGGTATCACGAATTTCAAATTTCTTTCCATATGGAATATTTTTCGTTTTCAATGATGGGCGAGTTTTGCGGTGATCTTCTTTCGGCAGTTCACTATTGTGATTTTGTAATACTCCTCTTAATTTAGTTTCACTAATTCCTAGAGCATCGCATACGCGTTGTTGTACGGCATTACCGATTTTAAAGGACCGCCATTTTCTTTTTCATCCATAAAATACTTATGTACACTACAAATTAGACTATCTACATCTAACACACGTCTAGGCATTTTTAAAATTTTCACTAAATTTACAATATACATAAAATGTCAACACTTGCAAAGAATCAATTCAACTGCAATATTTGTAACAAATTTAGTACCTACCCTAATGTTATTTTAATTTAAATCTGACCATTAGGGCAATTTTACCTAATTTCTTGGGAAGAGGATTATTGGAACTGGTTGTCAATGACTAATTTGCATAATTTTGTTAATGCGAAACCCTCGTGAGTATAGCGAACAGACTGTATACATTCTTGTACAATTTGCGAGGAATATTAACCAAAATTTTAAAACTATAAAAGACAAAAAGGTTGTCATTTGGAAAGATAAGTAAATATTTTTTTATATATATAAATCTTTTACTTTTACCTATTTTTGTAATGTATGAACTTAAAAAATAAATCAATAGCTACCCAATATTTTTTTTATTTTCCTTACCTTTTTTTCGGTGCGCCTATGGACTATGGAATACAAGTAATAACTAAAAGACGAGATCATAGCTCGTCGGTATCAACTACAAAGGAATTAAATGAGAGATGTCCTTCTGGTTATTATTTATTCTTGTGTCTCAAGCTTTTCCACAACTAAAATTCAACGCGCAAGCTTAAACTGTCTAAACTCAATTTGCCGCGCTCTTCTCATCTTCTAATTGGTCGAAATATGACAATTTGAATTAACCCGCTTTATTATCGACCTTCCATTGACCGAAAACTTAATGCAGGCAACCCTTAAAGCATTTCATGAGGTCATTTCTGTTATACCGCTAAACATTTGAATTAGTTTGCGAATTTCGATCGAGGAAACTGTTGTGTTCTAAAAAAAGTTATATTTTTTAAAAGTATAAAGTTTTGATAGAGTTTGCAGCTAGGTAATTGGAGATTGATTCTGTAAACTTCCCCCTTGTAAAAAATTTGGTAGTGATGAATCAGACACCGTTATATCATTAGAAATAGTTCATGTTCGATTTATTATTAAATATATCGTTCTTTCGTTGAGTTCGCAGCATTATTTTATCTTAAATTTATTATCATTTACAATTCTTGAATTCTTTAAATAAATAAATGCGATTACGTAAAATTGGATGTTAATTTAAAGTGTTTCTTGTGTTATTTAAAAATCTATGTATCGGTTTGAAGTGATAATTAGAAAATAGTGAAAATGCTGTATCGGTAGTTTTTGCGGTATTTAAAAATTGTGTATCAGTTTAAAGTGGTAATTAAAAAAATTGTGAAAGTAATTCATTACAACCTCTAACTGGATAATGTAGATTAAAACAGAAACATCAGTACAGCCGAAATCAAGAAAATCAAGTTAGTTATATTTTTAATTATTAAAGAATATTTTCAAATTAAATGTGTACACTTATAATAGATATTCACAGAACATCTACATCAGATAACTAGGTAAAACTTTTCAGGGCTATATTTTTCGAGCGTGAGAAATTTATCCAGATCAACCGTCATTAGGCAACACACAATACATAATGCTTTTTAGATCATTTGGTTCATAAGAATTAATAAGTTTGTTATAAATAAACCCCAAAGACATTTAATGTCTTTGATAAACCCCGAGATTCGATTCTTGGGTATGCTGTCT